TTGTTATTTATTTTAGTCTGATTTCAAGACCATTAACTACATGATATACAGGGTGAAATAAAAAACGGCAACAAAGTCAAACGCCATAATTTTTTCATTTTTTTAATTTTATTGAGTGAAAGCAAAAATGTCGGAAATAGCATAAAATTTTAGAATTAGTTTAGATTTGGTCGAATTGGTCACCTATGGGTCGAATTATGGTCTTCATGCGAATGTTGCTCTGCGGTATTTTGGCCCATTCCCGGCGAAGAGCTTGCTGAATGTGATCGACACTTTGGTATTTTTTAGTGCCAACCCTGCTATCCAAAATACTCCAGACACAATAGTCCAACTCTGCAGTATTTTGGTCCATTCACGGCGAAGAGCTTGCTGAATGTGATCGACACTTTGGTATTTTTTAGTGCCAACCCTGCTATCCAAAATACTCCAGACACAATAGTCCAACGGATTGGTATCCTTAGATTTTGGTGGCCATTGTGCGCTGGAAATGAAGCGAGGAACATCATTTTGTAACCATTCTTGGGTGGCGCGTGCTGAGTGCTAAAATGTTCACGTGGCCAATGTTTAATACACCCTCCAGAATATTTTCGCGATAATTTTCGGTCGATTAATTCGAGCGGCGCTTGAGTTCTGGTGGCCAACCGAAGGTGCACATTTTCAGCTGACCTCTTTGGCAAGTAAACACGATCATTTTGTGTAAGTTCTTGCACTTTTTGGAATCGCCGAATGGAATATTGCGATATGTTCAGCTCACGAACCATTTTTCGGCCACTGCGACACGGGTGTTGCTGTTTTCTTTCGTCCACTTCCTTGACGTCTGGCTACGCTACCAGTATCACGGTAACGAGAGATGGTACGAGACATAAAAGATTTATTCACATTTAAATGCTGGAGTTCTCTAACGATAGCCGCTTGTGGTTTTCCAGCCATTTATAAAGAAATCACACTATCACGCTTGAATTCCATCACGAATAACTTTTTTCTGGAAAATTCTCACCAAAATGCTTTTGTACACTTGTGAACAATATAATGAGCTATCACTGGGATAAGTTTAACAGCTGTCGGACGAGTGGCTTAGAAATGACAGCAGTCTGAAGTTGGTTGCAGTTTTTTCATATCACCCTGTATCTTTTCAAGACATGATCCATGAAACAATACTGGGCAGAGGGTAAATTGTGCTACTGCTGCTACTGCTACTATCGCTATATATTTCAAAGATGTTTTTAATCAAATGAAAGCGAATTGTATTTTGTTATAAAAAACTACATACATATGTACGCACGAGCCTTCGTTGTTTATTTTTTGGCTTAATTAAATAAGAATCTAAAAGCCATTAAAAGGCTATTTCAGAATAATTAACCTGCACACTGTAGTCGTCATCGTCGAAATGGGGGAACGGGAAATTGAATTTGTACGTAGCAAACATTCATTGACTTGTTCGCGGTATGGGAGAGAGAACACATTTTTACAATTTTTAGAAATTACTGAATGTATGTAATTGATTAAAAGATTTCTCTTTTATAAATTGTTATCAGTTATTATTACGTGTAACGCTAAGAATGGACATATCGACGTCAAATTGATAATAATTTGTAAACATCTTGTTTATCACAAATCGCGTCAACAACTGATCTCGAAATCACAGGCTTTTTACAAATACTTTTGATTGAACAAATCATGAAATTTTCCATTTTGGGGTTTGCCTCAGTTTGAATATCTATCGAACCTCCTCTATTCTATGATTAAAATAACAACACTTCTTTCGACAATTATTTATTTTCCTTGTGACGACAACTCGCACTGCTGACACACTACAACAAATGCTTATCAATTTGTGACGGGTGCTAATTTGGCATATATATTTTTTTATCATTTGAAGGTGATGTTGATATAATTTTTGACATTCAATGGTAAAATCTCGTGTTTGCTTAAGTGTGAGTGCATGACACCGCGGGTATGGGTGTGTTTGTGTGTGCGATAAGTAAAGTCTGATTCAAATTTATTGTTATTTATGTTATCTAGTCATATGAATGATTGTGCACATAGCAAATTTACATTTAAATTGAAGAAAATTATGGACTTTCTTCTCGATTTACGTTTCTTACATAACACGAGAGAATTATACGGCAAAACCTGATGCAGACGGCAGGCACAACAATTACACTTGCAGTACAATATATAGTATTTTGTGTGAGAAATTTGCACTTTTCATTAAATAGTGCATATTGTTTTATTTCTCACACATGGTGTCCCCGAAATGCTCGAATGCCACCCACAATCAATTCTACAAAAGGTTAGCTCAGTCTGACTACTTGCAGAGGTCAGGAAAACTCTTAACCACTTACTAAAAACAATTAATAATGATCACTTGCAATCGAGGTGGAAGATTGGTTTACATCAGACACATGTTTTCGGAATCAATATTTTACAAGCTATTTTGTATTATGGCGGGATGGACTATGACTGGAAGTGAATGCGGCATATACGACATTTATTTAATATATATCAAAGTTACTGATATACGTATCTCATCGTATTTGAGTAGAAATTTTTATTCCCATCATTACTATTATAAGAGAAGTCAGCAGTTTATTTTGAACAGATTTTAATGGAATCAAAACGCAGAACATTGCATTTTTCCAGGAACGGAAGTACGATAATTATAAAAAAATGAGATATTTTGGTTTTCGTCACATGACAGAATATCTTAAAATGAAACAATCAGGCATACATAAAACAAAGTTTAGTTTATATAAAAAACTAAAGTGTTTTAAAAGGCATGTCGTTTAGTAATTTATCAAGTCTTCAAAAGAGAATTCTAGAAATAGGCTTATACTTAAATACGTCAGGTCCATATCTTAAAATCTACCAAATATTAATGCTTTATTATTGATACTTTGTTGAATTCCCGCCATTGTAATATTTGGCAATTACAAACGTTCAAATTTTTTGTATATTCATTTATATTTTCAACACACAACGTATTTGGGTAACTCTCATATAAATACATGTGTTTTACTTCTGAGGTGAAAAAGGTCGAATTTTAGGTAACACAGTAATTTTCATATTATGCATTAGAATAAAATTCACGTTATAATTTTTATAAAAATACAAACAGATTCGAATAAATAGAAATTGTATAAGAGAATGTGGAAAAAAAGGTAACCTAGGTATTAACATAACCTAGGTATTCGTTCAGTTCGAAACATCCCCAGAAAAATGACAATCTAAAAATGCATTTTAATTACCAAAGTACAAAGAACATAATATACAAGATGCAATAAAAAATACTCCACGAAATGTTATTTTTGAGTTTTATATGTAAGTAATAGCAAAATATCCTAGAATACCCGTATAATCCTTAATGCCATAGATTGTGAATTCGGCTAACACCATTTACAGTGAAAGTAGTCTTAATTGTTACATGGGAATGGTGCGCCTAGGATGCAGTCTATGCGGGCTGTCCCGGTTCAAAGACCCATATGTCCGGATCCAGGAAAGATATACACACTTTGCAGCATTTTGGAAAGGTTATAGTGTCAACTTTAGTTTGGCATTTATTTTGTGGACTCCTATAATGCGGCCTTTTCGACGTTTGGATAACCGCAACCGTCACTGCCTCTGCAAAATTTTTCGAAAATAAAGGATTTTTACTAAACTACAATTGAGCCCCATACATTTGTTCAATTCGTCAATTCGAGCTGATATCTTTGGGGATAGGAGTTCATTTGCCTGTAGATGTTCTTACCATAGTAGAAAACCTTTACCACAATATTTAAGTTTGAGTTTAAATAAAAAATCATGTTGCACGAGCTGGTGTGAAAGTATTGAGAAGTTCTCAAATTTAAAAGTATATGTCAAATCTTTCAAAGCAAGAAATCTTTGCCTTTTGGGAAGTGTGTACCATGACCAACTTTTTCACAGCAGTCAGTGGAAATGTTGCCTCATGGCTAGCTTTGCTTTAAGGAGGCAATTAAACTGCATGTAGGTCGACGTTGTCAAAAGGGTTTTCTGAAAAAAGTGACTTTTTCTACTTAAAGACTTCTTGTCGACGGCAGCCTAAATGCCACTTTCTTTATCCATATTATTCCTAAATTTGTTTCATTTCATTCGTATTTACTTCATGCATCAGCTGTTGTTGCCACCTCTCATGTTTTTTTGAAGTTCCAAATATCTTTCTGCTCTCAATGTAGAAAATAGCAGAACACTGAATACAAATCCGTGCAGAATTCAAGTTAAGGTTTCCACATTATTGAAGGCAATTTGTATTTTAAATATATTGCCATCGTTTAATCATTTGACAAGTCATGTTTGCCGTTCCATTCCCTCATCGAGGAATTTCCATTTTGTTCCTCAGAGCTGGAGATGACATGCCGGTATTATATATTGTTGTTTGTTGTTGCTTTCATTCCATTGATTGTCTTCAATTTTTGCAACAAATTATGAAACACGAAGGCCATGAAAGGCGAAATTAAACAACAAACGGAAGAAGAGAACAGCAATGACATTAGAAAAGAAAAAAAAAAAACATGATTAAGAAGCGAAGACACACATACCAAATTTCAAATGAATGGCCCTCGCTACACAATCACACAAATTGGCCAACTAATGCTCGTTCTATCAGAGTCAGAAAAGACTATGGGGCGAAGGGTGGCGCCTGGGACTGTCAGAGTTCAAATACTCATGCATTCATATGTATGTATGCCTGTAGGTTCGTGTAAATGCATTCATGCACTGCCACAAAAGTGGGGCAACAAAATGCAGGTTTGGAAAAAATCAATTGAAAGGTTCGAATGGCACAAAATTTTCCAAACGTGAGAAATCCACTAAGGCACAGCAAACCACGTATATAGTACGATGAGGGCTAAGCAAAAACGATTGTACGAAATGAAAATTAATAACACAACACCAAATCAAGATGAGTCGTTTTTTTCACAATTTATCCACATACTCTCACACCCTCAGCAAGAAGATGACGAAGTCTGATTTGGGGAACTTACTCTGGTTAATTCGTTGTTAAAACTGCCCTCGAAAACATCAAACGCCAATCACAAATTATTTTCCTTCAAAACTTTTATGTATTTTATGGCAAATAATTTCACGCGTTAGGAGTTTCGAGTTATTTCTTTTCTAACGACAAGAACGAACTTTATCAGCAAACGCCGCAACAAAAGAACTGAAGAAATGTTTTACTCTCGTTTTGTTTTGAATGATTGAAATGTTCCATTCCACCTTGTTTCCCGAATGACAGACCAAAAAGAAGACAAATATAAAACAGTGATGTCAATATGTGTCGATTTCAATGTAGATAAAAATGTCAATATCCAAATAGAAAATCATAATCGAGGGTGACACTGGGAAAATAGTGAAACATTGAGAGAGTAAAATGAATATCGTAAAATGAATATCGTAATAAAAATAATTAACATTGTAGGCCATTTTGTGACTTGGGTAATACCGGACGTACGTCTTCGACGTTTCTCTCCAAAAGTCATTGTAAATAAAAAGGTAACAACATGGTACAATGAAATCAAGTTAAGACAGAACTAACATATGATTTAATTTTTTTTATTTTCTTGGTTTAAAATGTGAACTTTATATGTGTATGCGTGTGTATTATTGATTTAAGCGGGCATACCCTCAGATCTGTATTTTTTAGTTTTACGATTCTGTTCTACCTCTTTATTGTACCATGTGTAGAACATGATTTTAAAAATAAAGTATGGCCTTTCATTCAGTTTTCGCGTTTTTTAATTATTTATTCAAAATCAATGCAAAAAGTTGCATTTATTTTGATAGTAATTCTGACACTACAATCCTTACAGGTAGACCTCGTAGCCTGCAACTTTTTTCAAGTTAGCCTACCTCATGGTACAATGAAGAGAAGGTAGGCCAACTTTAAAAAAATTGCAAGTATAGAGGTCTACCTGTTTGGCTTGTAATGTCAGAATTAGTATCAAAAAAAAAATAAAAAAATCAAACAACTTGTTGCATTTATTTTGAATAAATAATTGACAACCGCGAAAACCGAATGAAAGGTCAACACTTCTTTTCAAAACCAGGTTCTATATATCTCTAAAGGATTATTTCGCTACAAAAACTCTAGATTTTGTCGATGCATACGATGAAATAAACATTTTGAAAACATCCGAATTTGAATGTTTTCTGAACAATTTTTTTGTTATTGAAAAGAAAACACATACATAAACAAATAAAGATGACATATTAAGCCAAGAAAATAAAAAAATTGAAATCATATAGAATCATAGCCCTACCTTGATATCATTGTACCAAGGCCTACCTTGTCTTCATTGTACCATGGGTAACAGAAAGTCCTTTTGTACAACAACCATGGTTCAACCAGAAAGGTACCTCATATTCAAGAAACTAGGAATAACGCAACTCCATACCGGAGTCTCATAATGTGAAATAGGCTTTTAAATATGCAACATTTGATTTGTTTATTTTAGCGATATACAGATTACTATACTTTTTCGGGAAAATAAAATTTCTTTAAATTTGAGTTCATTAGTCATTTGCTATTTGAATGAAGTTCGCTGGTCTATATAATTTTCAAATTATGGTAAATAAATAGAGGAAGACTTATTTGCTAAATCGAATATGGCAAACCATTTGGTGAAGAACTCGATCTTGTAAATTAAAAAAAATGTACGTATGACGTGGAGTACATTTTTAAAAATTACAATAAAATAATCTATTATTTTCGGCACGGGGCACGTAGGGGGCACAGATATATGTTCCAAATCTTATGAAGACGATTTTTTTTATCTTGTCTTAAATATAAACGTGTACGTTTATATTTATAACATATAAATACATATAAAATAGAGATTAAACGCTTCATCTTAAGGCGTCAGTGCTGTTAGTTCCTGTGTCTTTAAGTATCGAAATTTTGACAAATCTTCACATCTGCTATATGGATTCAGTATAAAACTACATCTTACGCTGATAATCATATGTTAAAAATGTTTAATTTTTATACATTCGACCAATGGTACAATACGGAGGTAGAACCGCTGCAAAACTACAGAAATACAGCCCTGAGGCTATGCCCGCTTCCTGTCAAATGTGTATGCAACAAGTTGTTTTCATTTTTCAATATTTTCCTCATTTTTAAAATCAGTTAAAGAGCGGGAACAATAAATGAAATGCCTGGATTTTCTTTCAAAAATATGATCTTTTTTTTATTGTACCATGATTTGATCATGGTTCGAGCGAATTGAGGTAGAAGGCTACAATTTTGCATACATGCATAGTTTACCAGTAGGCAGGTTAAGTTCGTAAATGGGCCATGTCGGTCCACGTCTTCGTATAGACCCCATGTAACGGTACCTTCCGATATTCGGTATTTTCATGATTTTAGCGACATTGTTTGCCGGAATTATTTCAAATGGGTACTACAACCTATGATAAACAATTTCGTATGCAGGTTTACGTCTTCGTATAACCCCCATGTAACGGTACCTCCCGATACTCGGTATTTTCATGATTTTGGCGACATTATTCACCGAAATTGTAACAAATTTCGTAATGGGCTCACGTTTTCGCATATCCTCCTGATATTTTAATGATTTTAACGACATTATTCACCGGAACTGTTTCAAATTTCGTATTTGAAGTTCGTAATCGGTACTACAGCCTATGACAAAAAAAAATTCTTAAGCAGGTATACGTCTTTGTATAGTCTCCATATAACGGTATTCATTTAAGTGGCAGTCTTTGGATTTTTTTAAGTTCCTTCTAAACGGTGGAGGGAGGCCGGTCGACCTTAGCTTCGTTTTTACTTGTTTCATGATAGTCCATTTGACATCTCATTGTCAAAATGATTTTGACTGAGATTTTATCTAAACACATAACAGTTGTCAGTTATATTTCAAAAATAAAAACTTTTCCTTTTTTTTATCGATCGGTCCCAACGCCACTCTCACCCGCCCCTGCCGACCGAGGGGGGCACCTCCCAATTACGTAGGGAGTGCGTACACCCCATAGTCCGAACTATGGAGGGTTAGTACGTTAGGGAAACCAGCTACAGTTATACATCAGCCGGTTGTTTAAATTCACAAATAAAGACAACACACAAGAAATAAAACAACATATAACAGATAAGAGTAGAGAATAGAGAATCTGGCAACTACTTGCTTTAATACTAAAGATGTAAAATAGTGTGTTTAATGACATGCAAAGGGTCTGTCAATGATATCTTATTATATAATTTGTTGTAGATATCACATAAAGACCTCATAGGATTATAAGATTCATAATTGGATTTAGCCAAGCAAAGTTTAAGTGGTATGTAATTTCGAGTATTACGATTCACCGCTTAAAAACTGTGAATCGATTTCGCCACGCAAAAGTTTTATAATAAATAAAGCTCTTAACATTAAACGTCTCTTTTCCAGTGTCGGAAGATCAATTAGTTTTAGGCGATTCTCATATGGTGGAAGTGTATCATTTATATCCCATCCTAATCCTCTGAGAGCAAATAAAAGAAATTGGGTTTGTAATGATTCCAATTTAGCAGAATATGTTTTGTAAAAAGGACTCCACAATACGCAACCGTATTCTAAAGTGGGCCGAACCAAACTAATAAATAAACGCTTAGTCACATAAGGATCGTCAAATTCTTTTGACCATCTTTTTATAAAACCCAGCAATGACTTGGCTTTATTTACACATGAATCAATATGCAAATTAAAACGCAATTTATTGTCTAAAATTACACCAAGATCAACGAATAAGTCTACATTGTCCAATTTGTAAGAACCAATGAGGTAATCACTTTTAAAAGGTTGTGTTCTAAACAAAGACAGTTTTTTACATTTCTTGAGATTTAGCGTCATACCATTAGCACTGCACCATTTAACAAGGCAGTAGATATCATGTTGCAAGTTAAGGGAACTAGTTTGACATCATCAGCAAACATTAGGATCTTAGAGTAACGTATAACCGTTGGAAGGTCATTTAGATACAATACAAAAAGTAGAGGACCTAAATGGCTACCCTGGGGGACACCAGAGTACACAGTTATATGTTTAGAAAGAACATTATTGAAAGAAACTCTCTGTGTACGCCCTTGCAAATAAGATGATATCCATGATAAAAATAATGTTGCGAAACCCATTTTGTCAAGTTTATGTAATAATAATGTGTGATCCACTTTGTCAAAAGCCTTACTGAAATCAGTATATATAATATCAGTTTGGCATTTTATTGAAAACCCCCTGTGTACATAACATATAAGTTCTAATAAATTAGTTACAGTTGACCTACCCTTTACAAATCCATGTTGGTAAGGCGATATTATAGACGAAACAAAGTGTGTTAGTCTACGCGAGACTAAAAACTCAAACAATTTCGGTATTGCACTTAATTTTGCAATACCCCTATAATTTTCGACGACACTTCTATTATCAGCTTTATGCAAAGGAATAATAAAACTAGATCGCCATACTTGAGGAAAATAACCAGATGTCAAAGAATAATTAAATATAGTGGTTAGAGGTAAATAAAGCTCATATGCGCATGACTTTAAAATGTAAGCAGGTACTCCATCAGGACCAGGGGAATTACTACTTTTTAACGATAGAAGAGCATTTAAAACTTCCTCCTCTGACAGAATAATTTGGGGAAATAATTTAATCTACTAATATTATAAGCATAGTTGTCATTATGATTGGATGAAGGCTTAGAATAAGTATTTTGAAAAAAGTCAGCAAACAAATTTGCTATTTCAAGGTGGTCCCCTGATTCCCTGCAACCAAGTTTCATGCTACTAGGAAATTCGCGGACTTTACGTTTTGAATTTACAAATTTATAAAAGCTTTTAGGACTCTTCTCTTAAATAAATCGAATAAGACTTTAAATTTTCAATGTTATATTTACTTCGAGCTTGTGAATATTTTGTATAATTTAAAGTGGTATTACATACTTTAAATTTTTTAAATAACCTACTTTTTATGTTGCGCAAGCGACTAAGATGTGGAGTAAACCAAAATGGTCCTGAGTCAGGATAGAACTTCAATAATGGAACTGATATAGTTAACGCATTTTTAAGTACGCTATAAAAATTTGAAATTCAATGTCACCTTCATGAGACCAACTTGAATTGGATAATATAGAACGAAGGAGATCAATATTAGTCTTAGAAAAAATTAATTTGTGAGGCTTAGTTTGTGGTTTTGCATAATTTGTTTGAATATTAAGTTCAAGGTCTATGACAAGTGTTGGGTGATATTTATCTTCCGGTTCTACAAAAGGTGAACATTTATTTAATGAAGTATTAACGGATGAAGAAAACACTAAGTCTAATATTTTACCTTTAAAATTATAAATATTATTGAGATGATATAGACCTTGGTCAAAAATATTTTTTACATAATGTGCCGTGTCATCATCAAGGGTCCACGATGTATTTGGTAAGTTAAAATCTCCAAGACAAATTAATTCAGAATGTTTTAAATAAATGTTTGAATCAGAATTTGGAGGAATATACGAACATGTTATATAATTAGTTTGGTTAATGTAAGATAATTTCACACATACAAATTCAACATCTTGACTATCAGTAAGCACAACACGCTCAGAGGAAATGGAATTGTGAACTGCTATGAGTACACCTCCACCAACTTTATTTAATCTATCATTTCTAAAAAGTTGGTATTGATCGGATAAGATTTCAGTATCACGGTTTAAGCCAAGTTTCTGTAAAAACGAGAATTTTAAGATCTGATTCAAAAAAGACTTTAAATATGTATTTTTAAGTTTAGTGTTTAGGCCTCTAACATTTTGATAAAGCAAAGATATAGATTTATTTATTTTTTGGGACATTCGAATCACAAGGTAGCGTTATTGGTTTTACAAAATTTCGCCTTTTTCTAAATTCAAATTCTTTTACCAATGTACCGTTTGGCCAAAAAGAATCTTTTAACATTAGATTATACAATTCAGAATGAACCGTTATTTTAAATGATGATAAATCACGTGGTATAGATGAGTTAAATTTCAAAATGTTATAATCATTATCAAGAACATTTTGAATTTTGGACTTGATATAATTACTAATGTTATCTACAGAAGTACTAGGATGTAGTCTAGAAACAAATATACTTTTTCTGGGAGCAACTACGATTAAAGTGTTATTACTAGTAGAAGGAACATTTTCTGGAGCACATATGATTATTGAAGGCGGAATCTGTGGATTATTAGGGGTAACTTCTGAAGATTGGACTTCAACCAGAGTCTTTGAATTTCAACCGGAGTCCTTGAATTTGAAAATATGAGAACGTGTTTTCTTTGCAAGAAAAGAGAAGCTGGCTCAATGTATATTTTTAATTGCTCCTAAATACGAAGAAGACCATAAATCCCAAGCATATGGCTCTTAAATTTTTTAGAAGAAAATTCCTGTGTGACGACCACTTTTCATCTTCGAACATTGTTTGTTGCCCTGTGCAACATCATGTGTTGCATCCCATCTTCAGATCAGGTTTTGTGTATACAGACATACTAGGATGTGCGAAGTTAGATAGGAGTGGGATGCTTTGTATTTGTGAGAGTTATGAGTATACAAAATTTTGATATGTTGTGGGAGAAATTTTGGATTTGGCGTTCAGCTGACCTCTTTGGCAAGTAAACACGATCATTTTGTTTGTTCACTGCTGCTGGACAACGAATGTTTTCTCATCGGAGAAAACCAAACTCGGCAGTTCACCACTTTCGGCCAAGCGAAGCAACCCTTTAGCTCTTTTGAGTCTATTTTCTTCCTGTTGCGGTGGAAGTTCTTTAACTTTTTGGAAATTCAATGGCTTTACCCCGAGCTTATTTTCTAATATTTGCCGAAGGAAATGTCGCGATATGTTCAGCTCACGAGCAATTATTCGGCCACTGCGAAGCGGGTTTCGATCAAGTCGCTTCTTTACTTTTTGAACCATTTCTGCTGATGTTGCCGTTTCCTTCCGTCCATTTCCTTGACGTCGGACTACGCTACCAGTATTACGATAACGAGCAGTGGTACGAGACACAAAAGATTTATTCACATTAAAATGCTGAAGTGCTCTAACGATAGCCCCTTTGTGGTTTTCCTGCCAAATATAAAGAAATCACACTATCACGCTTTAATTCCATCACGAATAACTTTTTTTCTGGAAAATTCTCACCAAAACGCTTGAAAAGAATATAATGAGCTGTTACTGGAACAATTTTAACAGCTGTCGGACGAGTGGCTTAGAAATTACAGCAGTCTGAAGTTGGTTGCAGTTTTTTCATCTCACCCTGTATATCAGAAAGACGAATGGATCACATGGTTAGATCGACTAAAATGAACTGAAACCATTATTTTTATGGGGCACATTTTGGGCGAATCAAGTTATAAAAACCTTCTGAAGTTGTAAGGCTAAAGGCATGGTACAATGAAATAAAGGTAACCTCATTTCAGCATTTCGATGCATAAAAAAAGTTCCCATATCTGATTTTGTGTGTATTTAATAGATTTATGAATATAGATTTTGACAATGAGATGTTGTCAAATGTATAAATTTGAAAACAAAATTGTTAACCTTTGATTACATGATTTTACCTTCTTCCCAGCTAGCATTTGGAAGATTGTTTTTGAAAAAATCACTTTGATGAGTCTTCTTCGAGTCCTCTTGGTGACCAAAAAATGATTAACTGACTTGTAAGATCGAAAAGCGACTCGAAAATGACTCTCTCTATTCAGTGTAAAGAGATCAATCTAAAATACAACAACAAAATGTAGGGGAATCGCAAATCAATCATTGAGATGTGCAAAATGTGACCATTTTTCCGTTATTTATTATCGTATTGCGATCATCTAGAGATTGAAAAATGATTAGTCTTAAAAAGATCTTGCAACTGTTTGAAAAGTGATCAAAATTACGTATTTTTTGATCACATTTCGCACAGGTAAGTGCATAAATGCTGCTTGTTTTGTTATGCAAGGGTAATTTTGTTTGTGACTATCAAAAAGTTGAATTATTGTTCATTTATAAAAAGTGCGTGGAGGCATCAACAGCAAAAGTGTATAGTATTGAAAAGTGAAAAAATATGAAAAAGTGTACGTTTATATAAGAAAATGTCAGAAGTTAAATTACAAAAATAGAAGAGGCTAAAATAAAAACGATGGCAAAGAAGAGTCAGAAAATTTAATTTTGCAAAAAAGAAGTAAAACTGAATATGAGAAAAATGAAGAAACTGTCCAGAAACGTGAATTGGTAAAGCAAAATGAGACAGAACTTGATTTGTAAGTACAGAATATTGGGTATTTGATTGATTAATTCACTACTTTATAAACTAATAATACTTATATATTTCTTTTGATTATCTATTTCCAGAAAGAGTTTATTGCAAAAACCGAAAGGTTTTTCAGATAAATTAGCCTGCCAATACAGCTGGAACGGGACAGGGTATATCTGAGTGCAAAAAAGTGTTATTTAGTTACAGTAATCAAAAGTAAGTTTGTCTTTTTAACACGTATATAAAGAATTAGTAAAATTGACTGACTTGTACATATTTTATTTCAGATATGTGTCATCTCAAATACTCAAGCAACGACAAGGATATGAACATAATCCTACAAAAACATTTTGTTCACGCTAGAGACCGCGTTATAAATAGAAAACGGCCCGATTGCAGTTCCTAATTTTTTATTTTTTTATTTCATTTTTTATTTTCATTCTCTTATTTAATTTTTTACTATATTTTTTACAATTGCATTTATTGATACTACAGTACAAATTATAATCATAAAAGCTGAATTATTTTTATTTTAAATACATTTTTATGTGAACATATATAATTAAATTCTTTTTTTTACGGTACATCCGAATATTTAGAAATCACGTACGTGATTCGTAAAATCGTAAACACTCATTTAAGACTCATAAATTTAAGACAAAGGGGACTCATAAATGTCTCCTAAATGAATATACATATGAGTAATATATGACACTTAAAAAACTAATAAATTACTCACTTAAGACTCATAAATGATCAAAAAATGACTTAAAAAAGACTCGAAAAAGATTCACAAATTAAGCGTTTTAGCGCAATAAATGATTAGAAAACGACTCGAAAGGGACTCTTAGAACGATCAGAAAATGGTCGAAAAAGACAATTAACTAATCTAGAGGAAGACTCATATGTGATTTATTTAGAAGAGTCGCGGGAGGTCACGTTTTTCTCCCGACAACTGAGTCTTTTATGATCAGAAAATGCGCTCATATTCCAGCTTTTTAATCGCGCAAACGGATCAAAAAAGACTCGAATATGATTAAAAATTTCAAAAAATGCTGACTAATTAGTTCTACCATGTACCAAGCCAAGATTAAACAAGTAAAAAAGCCGTAAATTTGGCCGGGCCGACATTTGAATATCCTACACCATTTGGAACGAATTTGGACATTTTCAAAAAATAAAGTCCTTAAAAAATTCTGTTAAAATTTTAAAAATACCGAATATAGCCGTTATATTGGGGTCTATACGACGTTTACCTACATATGCCTTGTTTGTCATAAGCCATTACCATATTCAAATTCGACACTTGAAATAAACGGTGAATAATGTAGCTAAAATCATCAAAATATCGTATGTAGGGAGGTACCGTTATATCGGAGCTATGCGATGACCTAGACTAGCATAGACAATTTTCTGTCCCAGGCTATAGCATCCATTACGAACGTCAAATACGACATCTCAAAAAATTTCGGTGGGTATTGAACCTACCGAATATAGGCAGGTACTGATATATGGGGCCTATACGAAGACCTGTACCTGCATAGACAATTTTCTGTCACAGACTGTAGTTTCCATTACGAACTCTAAATACGCAATTTGAAACAAATCCGTTAAATAATGACGCTAAAATCATCAAAATACGGAATTTTGGGAGGTATCGTTATATGGGGGCTATACGAAGACGTGGACCTGCACGGACAATTTTCTGTCTTAGGCTGTAGTATCCATTTCGAACTTCTAATACCAAGTTTGAAACAATTCCGTTGAATAATGTCGCTAAAATCATCAAAATACCGAATATCGGGAGGTACCGTTGCATGGGGGCTATACGAAGACGTGGACCTGCACAGATAACTCTCTGTCATAGGCTGTAGTATCCATTTCGAACTTCAAATACCAAAGTTGAAACAATTCCGGTGAATAATGTCGCTAAAATCATCATGTATATACCATTTACGTGTGTGCAAAATTTTAGCCTTCTATCTCAATTCGTTCGAAAGATAGCGTGATTACAACAGACAGACAGACACTCAGACAGACGGACATGGCTAAATCGATTTAGAATTTTACGCTGATCAAGAATATATATACTTTGTTGGGTCTGACATGAGTATTTCGAGGAGTTACAAACGGAATGACAAAGTTAATATACCCTCCATAGTATGGTGGAGGGTATAAAAACATTAAGTTCGGCCGGATCGGGCAATGTTCTCCCACCGGAAATACCAATTTTTAGACAAAACCGTGCAAAAATGTGGCATCAATACACCGGAGCTATCAAATACAACACTTTTTTCATAATAAACACCTGTTATGTTTTCTCGAATTTCAAGGGACAAAATATCTCGGCTGACATGTCTTATTGCAATGAACATCTTCTCCAGGTTCGTCTTTACTAATGTCATCTACATCGAAATCGTTCTGATTTGCTAGGTTGTGCAGGACGCAACATGTGCTTATAAAATGACATAGCTTTTTCATGCCTAAATGCATGCTTCCAAAATCTTTGATTTACCATACCGAAAGTGTGCTCTATTTTGACCCGCCTTAGCTCAGCTTTTTGTTGACAAGGCAGTCAGTTGGCTATTATTCCTATAGAGGATAACTGCTAGATGGATATGCTGGGCCACCAAAAATCAAGTAGTCTTAGAAAAGATATTACTGATTGAGGAAAAAATTAATATACAAAAGGTTACCTCCACATTTACTATCTAATTTTTTAGATAACGCCGAATTTTTGGTAAACCCAACTATCGAGTGCCGGATGCCCTGGTATCCGATAAACACATTAGTAAATTTTTGTTTTTCATTGCACACACCTTGGACTTTTAATGGGAAATGTCCATTTCGGTCGATATAATCATTTGGTCCATCCTTGGGTATTTGGGTATTGTAAAAAGCAATATAAATCAGACCAATCGTTACATAAATCTACTCTTTGTTTAGAATTAAAACGAGCTCTATTTTTCAATTACCAATAGCTCAGGAAAATCCACATTTAAGTTTAAAGTATTCACTCGAAATTTATCGTTCTTCTGCTTTAGGCCATATCGGAAAGATCTAGTATATAGTTACAGGCTTCATGGCTCGCAATCCCCAAAAATAGATATAAATGTTCATCGCATGAAAACGTTTTTCTGAGCGTAGATGTTTGTCCGCTTTCGCCAAACTTATCGTTCAGAATTTTAAATAGACATCGGGAAATACTATAGTGCTTTTTAAATACTTCGTCGGTGTAGCTGGATATTACATTCACACTATAATCGATTATCGAGTGACGTTTACCTGTAAAATAAGGACGATGGCACTCAGTTAATTAGTACTTCATAATACTTTTATACCCTCAGCCCTATGGCTAAAAGGGCATGTATTTAATTATTTAATAGGACCAAAACGTGCTTCATCGAAATAACGGTCCTGGTCTCTTTGGACCAAATCGGTTTCAGGACATTTGGAGTCCTTCCGTCTGGTTGCCTGGTGCACACGATGGCTCTCGAAGGGAGTATGCTATTTCGTTCAAACTTGTATATCGTAATATTATTATCAAACTTAAATCGAATTCGGAAATGGATGAAATCGGTCCACTCCTTTTGGTACGTCCCCCACAATTGGCCAAACTTTTCATTAACAATCTTCTTCTTCTATCTTCTATATATATAAAAATCAATTGTTGTTCGTTGGTAATGGAATCAGTTGAAAACCGCTGGGCCAATTTGCATAATTTTTTTTACAAACGTTCGTCATACACCGAGTTAGGTTTTTAAAGAAAAAAGTATTGACCATGCCTCCTTTTACGCCCACTATTTCGATTTATCTAAAATACTTATATTTCCCAAATAATGAAGATATTGGTTTAAAAATTATTGCACGAGATACTGTTGACCTTTCCTCCAACCCTAAGTATTTGTTTTTGGGGGCTGAGGAACTGACCACGCCTACTTTTTAATCTATCTATACATCTATATATATATATATAAAAGAAAGTTGTGTTAGTTACTACGCTTATAACTTAAGAACCGCTGAACTGATTTTAATGATTCATTCAAATTCTGAATTGTCTCCTATCCGAAAAGGATAATATCAAAAAAAAAAAAAAAAATCACGTAAAAATGTGATATATTAACATTTTCATTTTGACTTTTGAAATGTACAATAGTAATGTTTTATTTTGCATGATTTTTTTCCATTTTGACTTACTTTTTTCTAATGTACATTTGTAGTGTTTTTTATATTTTATTTTTGAATTCGAATATTAATACCAATTTATTTAATTGACTTGATTTCTTGAGAACTGAAATTGATGGCGGGTTACATGGAAGTGTAGTACGGAATTATGTGGTGACGGAACGGAATAGCTGATATCGAAATAATTTAACGCGGTCACACCAAAGTTAAAAGATAATTACTTTTTCAAAATCGCTAAAAAATCACGAAAAAGAGATCTCATTGCAAAAATTCTCAAATCGGGGAAAAAAAAAATCATTGAATTATACTATGATGAAAAATATGGTCTTTATGGTGTCTCCAATTTACAATTTAAATGACAAAAAAAAAAAAAAAACAAGTAAAAAAACATTAAGTTCGGCCGGGCCAAACTTTTAATATCCTCCACCTTAGGGTAAAGGAAACATTCATGGGAAAATGTGCCAAAAGTCATCAAAATACCGAATATCGGGAAATTCGGCTATATGGGGCTATACATACAACGTAGACCTATACATACAGTGTTTCGCCAAAAGAGCTAGAACCCATTAAGACCAACAAATACCAATTTCTAGACAAATCCGCGAAGAAATGTGGCAAAAACCATTAAAATACCGAATATCAAAAGGTACCGTTATATGGGGGCTATACCAAATCGGATACCTATAAATGCAATGTTTCGCCAAAGGAGCTAGAACCCATTATGACCTACAAATGCCAATTTTCAGACAAATCCGTGAAAAAATGTGGCAAAAATAATCAAAATACCGAATATCGGGAAGTACCTTTATATGGGGACTATACCAAAACGTGGACCGAAATATCTCATTTTCAATACCAATCATCCTAGACACAATACAAATTGCTCTGCTAAATTTTGGCGATCTACGCCAAATAATGTGGGCTGTATCGTGATTTCAACAGACAGACGAACAGACGGACTTCGTTAAATCGACTTAGAATTTTATGCTGATTATGAATATATATACTTTATGGGGTCTACGACGAATATTTAAGGATGTTACAAACGGAATGACAAAGTTAATATACCCTCCTTTCCATGGTGGAGGGTATAATTAGTTCCCATCTTACGGTAATGGGTGTAAAATAGTAATTATATTTGACTATTCTGAAATCAGTCTGCCCTCAATTATGAGGTGGATAAAACTATTTTTACTTATTTAAATCACGCGAAATTTTTTTTCAGTT